CGGCAACGTAAGAGAGGGGAAATTAACTCAACTGACAAAGGATTTCCTCTCCGGGATCGACCGTGTGCGTCCGCAACGTGCGACCGATTCCGCGACGACGGATGTCGAGTCACGATTCTACTCTAAGTAGCGAAACTACGAATCATATGGGGGTGGTAGGGCTGGTGGGGGTGGGGGGTGGGTGGGGTTGGTGGAATAATCTCTGTTTCAAGCCGAGGTTCCCTTTTCAGCTGCAGCTTTTACAGAGACCCCCACCGACCTCGGCAGCGGCCCGTCCAGCCCCAGTTGGGGGGGGGCAGTTACGCTTGACCTTTCAGCATAGTGCCAAGTGGAGATTATGTTGAATGCGTAAGAGCAGTAACTCTTCCTGTATTGTCCTGAGGGCTGCTTATCTCTCTCAATGTACAGGTTAGACAAGGTCGGCAAGCAGCGATGCCAGTGTTTACCAAAGGGGAGGTGGAGCTGGGGTTAGGGGATGGGGACAGTGAGCCTCGCCTCCATTTGACTTCCTTGGATGTTAAGACTGCTGAGTTCAGTGCTGGGAGCTGCACACAGCGCATGGAGCTCAGGTACCTGACAAGCTTGGGCTGTTTGCAGCATTTATTGAGGGCTGCAGGGCAGATTGAGAGGCTGATTTGTTACATCCATTTGGGACCAATTAGCAGGATTCAAATACACCGTAGGTGCCGGCGCAAAGTAATACAAAGTGTGAGAATGGTGTGTTTCTGGAAACAAATTCAAATGCTCTGAGGAAGAGCTGACATTTTATTTGGAAAAAAAACAAAGCTGAAAATTCTGATTCTGACATGAGCATTAAAGTCTGTCAGTCACTTATACAATATGTACATTAGGTGACTGCAATCAATTGTTTTCTCACATGTCTATTTTAGTTTGACAATGCTTGCACACTTTCATTAACAAACTAAACACAGAAGATTAATATCCATTCATCTAAACTGTTTGACACGGTGATTAAACACAGGCAGAGGTGTGCTTCATGTACCGGTGTCATCCTCTCTGATACAAATGACCTGTTAAAATGACACATTCTCTCCCAGAATGTATTAGGGTCTGTGTCGAGCCCACTCCCACTTTAGCTTTATCTCCCTTTATTTTTGCACTGCCGCCCTCCCTCGCCGTCATCCTCTTCCTCCCCCCCCCTCACAGCTCTTATCCCTGCCCTCCACTTATTTCACACAGACAAATTGTTTCTGCTCCGTGAAATGTCAACAGCATATGTGACATCTGTGCACCAATTATGATGACGATATTACACTGTGCCCATCACAGGCGTGTCTAATAAAAGGACATTGTGTTGCCCTAGTACTTCCACTTTCTTAAAAACAATTGCAGAAGGCTCATACTGTATATTTGTTTGCTGCTCCTGACATTTCAGTAAACATTGGATAACCAGCTAGTTTGTGTAAGTAACTTCTGATATTATACATCATTTAACATTACATGTCACTTGTTAGATGCTTTTATCCAAAGCTATTAGCTACTATGTATGTACATTTTTCCAGTTTGAGCTTTTAAAACCAACAATGAACCCAAATTCCTCCTGATTTGAGGAACTTATAACCATCATTAAACGCAACCTTTTTTAAACGTTTATTGGCTTTTCCTCACTGTTACCAACACATAGGAAAAGAGAATATATATAATATAAATATTCAATTAAAACTTATGTGTAAGGCATATCTATTTAGGAAAATCAAACACATTTTTAAGGTTTTAATGTATTAACCCCAACCCTAACCCTACTTTACTTCATGTTCATACAAATCATACCAGTGAGCCCCCAAACCCTTTTTGTTAGGATCTGCTTTGATTATTTTGTATTCATTTACACCAGTTCAGGTTTTTCCCTTTATTTTGTCACTTATATGCAGCTAACACATGTTATTGTGTTAGCTAGCTATAGCTCAACCTTCATTAAAGGCCTCCCTTAACACCGCAGCTGCTAGTATCCATATAGTTTTGCCATCATATCATGGTTTCACTGAGCTTCTGCCGGTGCTGTCTTCCTCTCTTCCTGTACTGCCTTCCTTTCTCTCCCTCCGTCTTCCTTCCTTTACTTAGAGGTGACTGTGACTAATGAGTCTTTAGAGACCTCGTGTTGCAGGAGGAAGAGAAAGAATGGCTTCCACAGGCACACACTTAAAAGATGTATTGCGATGCCAGCAATTTGCCTCGGAGGCCTGTGTTAACTAGAGTGTTCACTTCCACTCAAATGAAGAAACAGGGAGATTGTCAAAGAGAGAAAATAGTCTCAACTGCACCAAATCTAATTACTGTTGGGATGCATACAGGTTCAGAAACACTTGGCCTGGTGACACTGATGTCTAATTGTAACAGCATGTTGTAAATCTTCTCTGGCAGATTGCTGATGGGCAATCAGACAGCCGCACAAGGACACACTGAAGATGAGTTTTTTCTTCGGGGACTGTAACATGAAGAACATAATTTCACATATGGAAAGGTGTCCCTCTTTGGTGTTAACCTCCAATGCTGTTGTGCTTTAACACAATCTGGCGTTATGTCAGGTTTCTATACTGTAGCACCCAAAAAATCAATTGTTAATCAAACAATGTGTCTACAAATGGTGGAAGCCATTATAGCTATGTTGCACCATCCAATTTAATATGACCCTGCCCTGCCAGATTATGGAGTCCAAAAAAAAGTAATGCAACACAGTCAGTCATGAGACATCCTTTTAGAGACCGATGCTGACCTTGAAGGATGTGGCCTTGGTTGAAACACTATCTTATCATCTCCATGAGCAGAAATAAACTGACATTTTGTATAACATATGACATTTTCACTTTATATTGTGCAGGATTACACAGTTAAATGGTGTTCTCTAGTAGGCTGGCTGCTCATGCTCTTACTTCTCCACACCAATCATACACAAAGTGACAACTGTGTCCCTTATTGGCTATTAGGCTCCTGTCTAACAAGCCTTACTCGTGACATACAAGGCACCAGTGGCTAAGCTTAGCTGTGCTGAACCCAATTGGTGTCAGTCTCTCCTTCCCAAGCTCCAGTGTGGAGCATCCTCCCTTATCAGCACTGACCTTCCCCTGCACTGTCACCCATCCTGCTCTCCTTTGCTCCCCTCTACTCTAACCTTCCTTCAGCCTCCCTAGACTGTGGCCTCCAGCTCATCAGGGGGAAATTGGGCCAGCACTGGCTAGATGATGAGGCTGGACGACAGCCCCATCGATTAGCTGTCCCCCAGGGCTGATCTGTGGCTAACTGCTTGCTGGATGGAGTCTCATATCTCTGTCCTTATTCCCAACACCCCCTCTCCTTCTTAGAACCAGCCCCCCCGTCCCTTTGCCTCTAAGACCACAGCGGTGCTTCCTCTCCCCAACTCAGGTAGGGAAAATAACAGGTCTTGCTGGTGGGAAGGTCACGACTGCAGATTTATGTCCAGTTTAACAGAGTAAGGCCATGTTGGGTGCAGACATGAGCAATCAGAGCCAATGTTGGATCCTATATTTTCACTGATAGACCAGGGACAGGAGCTATTCACTCCCCTCAGCTTGATACCATTTCAAAGTCATGCACAGAGCGAAGAAAGAGGGAGTAAGGGGGGGCTTTTGCTCTTTGGCAGATACACAAGTAAGATAACTGGTGAGGCTTTTTCCATTTATCTTATTCCTGAAGCAGGTTCAGCTCTCAATGCTTCTTTTCGTGGCAAGCAAGAGATTGCTGCCAATTTGACGGTGATGATGACAAAGAAGAAGAGAGCAGTTGCAGGTCATGATTGCAGTGACATGTCCACTCAGCTGACGGGCCAGTCTCTCGATCTCTGCTGGCCCTTTAACTTAAGCAAGTCCCTTAATAGCTGAACATAACGATGACCATTAGAGTCCTGCAGTGAGTCCATGATAAAATCAGAATAATCACTGGCTGTTCTTGCTCTGTGGGATACAGTAGGGTGGTTGTACCCACAAAGCAGCTGATGGCGTGGATACATGCATGACTGAGTATGTTTGTGTGTGGTGGGGGGGGGCTGTATGTTCGTACTTGATTGGAGCAATTCAACCTTCAAACGGCAACATGGGCCACGGCTGACCTGCAGAAGTGCCGGATAATTACAATGTTCGACCCCTGCTGACCCCGCTGATCGCCTGCTCTGTTTATCAGATTTCACATTTTCTGATGACGTTCCGCAGAGAAATCTCTTGGCCATTTGTGAGATGGATTAGATTGCTTTATTGAAGGGCCCGTAGGGGGAGCGGGGTCGATGGGTTGCTTTCATGTTTGTTTGAGGCTGGGAAAACGAGAGGGGACAGAGCTGGTGTAGATGAACAAGGCAGCAGATCGGTATGCTAGACAAAGACTAAAAAGCCCATTTCAAGGCAACAAGACGCTGAGAAACTATTCAGGAAATCTTGAGTGAGATCTCGTGATAGATCTCAGGCTGGGAACATTTATAAAAGGTCATTCTATTAATCTGGATATAAATGTTAAAATACTCAAACTAGATTAATTTACCAATGCTGTGGTCATCACTGAAAATCTATTAAACCTTCTCTGACTTTCAAATCCTAATGACAGATGTCAATTAATTCACTAAGTCTGATTTATGACTACTGAGAAAAAACTATTGGCTGTAAAATATGTGGCTGTTTTTGGGTTATCATTTCTGATCCAAGCTTGATTTTGAAGTGTACAAACCCAATACAATATGTTTTGTGAACTCATGAACTTAAGGCAAACAGATTGATCCTTTCAGTTAATATTAATTTAAGTATTTCTCCCCTAACAGTTCTACCGATGTTGCAAAACAAAATGGAAAACAAAAAGCCAGTGCTGAGGAACAGCTTCAATTAAAGCGTTGCCACACCATAAATCTTGGCCAGGCCTCGGAGAAATTGTGATGGGCATCTGAACGGTACTTTCAAGGCCACAGCGGACCATGTGAAACACACTGACGTCGATTTTATTCAACAGTTCATCAACTGGCCTAATGTAAAAAGAAAGATTTGCTCGCGCTTTAATGGGTTTTAATGTGGGAGAGCTGAGTTGGCCTGCCTGGGCCCGGCTGATGAAGATTAGCTGACTTCTTCCATTAGGAGAGGTTGTCTGGTGCAGCCGGCTGAAGTGGCAAGACAATAACCGAGTGCTAATTGTGCGTAACCAGGTCCTTTGCCTTTAGCATGCGCAATGTGTCTGGTTGGTGAGTGTGTGTGTGGGGGCCTGTGTGTCTTATATAAAGCCAAGTTTGGGAAAATAGGTGAGAAACAAAGGAACTCTGGCCAACACATAACCCTCCTGATGTTTTCTGTTTAATGGTGTTTCTGTAACCTTCAGAAAACCTTTGATTACCTTATGGTTTGTTTACTAGCTCCAAGAATGTTCCTTCACAGTAACATGGGAACATGGATCTTTGGAGGAATGTTTGGGGAAAGTTCCTGGTAAATTCCCATAACTATTCACAGGAATGTTTTACATGTGTGGAGAACACTTTTAAAAAGGCCCAGGATGTGCAGGGCTAGAGGCTTTAGCTGATTTAAAAAAAGGAGTTTGTAGGACTTTCTCAAAGTAGCCTTGAAACATGTTTTTTGCAGCTTTTTAGGAGATTAGCTGTGTGTTACATAACCTATTCTGTCATTTTTTTACTTGTCCAACTACTTGCATCACCATGAATCCTGTGGAGAGGAGACACCATCATCTCCATTCGTATAGTTTTTTTTATAATAAGACTACAAATACATGCACAAGTATTCAAGATTCCTTCAAAGGGACTAAGGGGCAATGGGATGCAGTCACGGTTGTATTGAAATCTCTTGTGTACTTGTGAATTTAAAGGAGACACTTCATACAGCTAAAAAGACCAATGTTACAATTAGCAGTAGTGCTTTTTCAATGGTCGTTCAAACTCTACCGTCATTGTGTTTGCGGCTGGGAAATCCAAGAAGGATTGTGTCCAGTCGATATGAATGGTATACCGCTTCGAGAAGTCCCGCCCCTTAGTCTATTACATGCAATGCAAATGTGACATAGGGATGTCACTATGTTATAGAAGTAAACAAAGGAGTCCAATGGAGGTGTTTCAGGCAGGGGGGGGGGGAGTGTTTGGGAAAGAAATATGTATTTGTTTCTTATTCTTTCTTTAACCATGTAAATGATTGTGGACAACAGCATTGAACCCAGATAATGAGTATGATTAAATTCTCAAAGATAAGCTATATAGCAGGATTGTTGTATTGGGTTCCAATGAATTGTAGCAGCTTACATAATGAACTCATTTGAAGTGGTACGCGAGAGACTCGCTGAGGGTAACAATGCAGTTTATTAAACAAGGGCTTTTCTATCACTGAGTTCAATGCTTCCAAAGCTGCACCCTCTTCTCTGCTGCTGTGGTAAGAAACAGTTCTCACAAAATCTCTGACCACACTGTCGACAGGCAGAGGCTCAGTAATGAAGACTGATGGCCAGCATAATGAATGCACATGTAACTGCACCTGTACATCCAGGCTGACACTGTACAGTAGTAATGCAGGATTATAATCACTGTGCTAGGTCCAGCAGGTGTCCCTACGGCCCCCGGAGGTGTCTTGTTGGTCACTGGTTAGAGAAATAAATCTATGATATGGGATCTTTCTTCAACTTTCAGCGGCACTTGAGATTCACTACGCCCGCAATCTTGCTTCCCTGACCAGCCATCTGCCTAGGCACAGGGATGGGAGAGGAGCAGCGGTGAGGT